AATTTGAGGATTCGGAGCCGGTCAGGTTCGTTTGGCAAAAGGGAGATGGAAGGGGGTTATGTAAAAGCCCTGCGCCAGACGACGAGCGATTACGCGGCCGGACAAAGAACACAAAGTACACACAAGACACAGAACGCACACACAGAACACAAGCGAAACTACTAAGTGTTTCTTTTAGGAAATTTAGATATAAGCTTGATTTTTGATTCTCTACAACTTTTCCATTGACACCAAAATGGGTTTCTTTTGAAGAAAGTGCTCAAACTGTCACATATGACAATAGCCGGCAGTTTTCAATTCATCAACCCAATAATGTTTCAATTCATGTTTCAATTTCATTTCATTTCATTAAATTTCATTTCATTAAATTTCATTTCAGTAAATTTCATTTTCATGAATTGTATCCAATTTCTGTACAATTTTTGTTTCTTTTTCTCTTTTCAGTTAACATTTACATCTCGAAATAGAAAAATGAAATGAAATTTCAGCTTTTTTTGATTTTCTAAAAGATTTCTGATCTCAAATGATCTGATCTAAAGGAGAATTATTTGACGCCATCAAATTGGACAAACATTTATGCACCAGCTGCTCTACAAGGGATCTTCGTTGCGTGAGTAGATTTCAAATCAAATCAAAGATCTCAAAGATCATCTAAAAGATCTAAAAGATCTGAATGACCTAAATGATCATCTAAAAGATCTAAATGATCTAAATGATCATCTAAATGATCTAAATGATCTAAATGATCTAAAAGATCATCTAAAAGGTCTAAAAGATCATCTAAATGATCTAAATGATCTCAACTATAGCTTGGAAAGCGTTTCGTTTCAATTTCAATTCAATTATTTGACTGGAGAATTATGGAGAATTATTTGACGCCATCAAATTGGACAAACACTTATGCGCCAGCTGCTCTACAAGGGATTTTCGTTGCGTGAGTAGATTTCAAAGCAAATTTCCCGCTCAGATTCAATCAGATCAATTCAGATTTCAAAAGCAGAACCAAGTAAATCAAGTAAATCAAGTAAATCAATGAACTTACAGAATCCCGTCAATTCCCCCATTTCTTTTCCTTTTATACGTTCAATTGCTAAAGAAAGAGATCTTTTTGACGTACAAGGTTTCGTCGAATTCCTTTTAAATCTCAATTTCCACCCTTTCAGTACACTGTCTTCATGACTTGTTATCTTTGTTTTATCAATCAATCTCTCAAATTGTTTGCATACATTGGACAATATTATGCAGCAATAGTACAAATGCAGGTTGGTTGAACAATTGCAAAGCTATTGCATTGTTGTATTGCTTTTGCATTGCTTTGCTATTGCTTTTGCATTGCTTTTGTATTGCTTTGCTATTGCTTTGCTATTGCTTTTGTATTGTTTTTGTATTGTTTTTGTATTGTTTTTGTATTGCTTTTGTATTGCTTTTGTATTGCTTTGTATGTATTGTATTCTTAATCCATTTTACAAGCTTCTACTCGAGTTCAACATATTGCAAGCTATTGCATTGCTTCTGCATTACTTTTGCATTACTTTTGCATTACTTTTGTATTCACAATCCTCCAGAAAGTTTCTACTATCTACTCCTACTTCTACTTTCTAGATTTACAAGCTTCTACTCGAGTTCAACATATTGCAAGCTATTGCATTGCTTCTGCATTACTTTTGCATTACTTTTGTATTCACAATCCTCCAGAAAGTCTCTACTTTCCTCTACTACTTCTAATTTCTAGATTTACAAGTTTCTACTAGTTTTTTTACAGACAAATGCTCTTGGTTGTTTTCTTTTGAAAAGCTTTTGGTATTATTTATTCGAATTTGGACAAATTCATCTATTGGTAAGGGAATTAGATTCAAAAGGTTGCTCCGGCTTGCTATAAGATGGGTCAGCTTCCTATCTAATAGATTCGCTACCATCCCGCGTCTAACTCTCAACCTTTTCAGGGTTTGAGCCTCAACCGTTTCCTGAATATCATTTTCCACATTCAGCCCAAGGTTTATTGGTTTCTAGTGATCGGATTGGGTGTTTATCTTGTACAGGTGAGAAGAAAACTAGAAAATTCTAGAAACTAGAGAATTCTAGAAACTAGAAAATTAGTTCTTGTGAATGTGATTTCGTATTCAAAACGAACTCTTCGTGTGTTGATTTGCAATATGTTAATTGAATGGGATAATTGAAATATGTTAATTGAAATATGTTAATTGAAATATGCTAATTGAAATATGCTAATTGAAATATGCTAATTGAAATGTGCTAATTGAATAATGCTAATTGAATAATGCTAATTGAAATATGCTAACTGAAATATGCTAATTTCAATATGTTAATTGAAGTATGATAATTGAATTATGCTAATTGAATTATGCTAATTGAAATATGATAACTGAGATATGCTAATTGAAATATGCTAATTGAAGTATGTTAATTTCAATATGTTAATTGAACTATGATAATTGAAATATGATAACTAAGATATGCTAATTGAAATATACTAATTGAATATGCTAATTGAAATATGCTAGTTCAAATAATGCTAAATGAAATATGCTAAATGAAATATGCTAATTGCAATATGCTAATTGAAATATGCTAATTGAATATGCTAATTGCAATATGCTAATTGAATATGCTAATTGAAATATACTAGTTCAAATAATGCTAAATGAAATATGCTAATCGAAATATGCTAATCGAAATATGCTAATCGAAATATGCTAATCGAAATATGCTAATTGAAATATGCTAATTGAAATATGCTAATTGAAATATACTAATTGAATATGCTAATTGAAATATGCTAGTTCAAATAATGCTAAATGAAATATGCTAATTGCAATATGCTAATTGAATATGCTAATCGAAATATGCTAATGCAATATGCTAATTGCAATATGCTAATTGCAATATGCTACTTAAAATATGCTAATTGCAATATGCTAATTGTAATATGCTAATTTCTTATCCTAGTATCAAAATTCGATTCAAAATGAATTCAAAATGAAAAGTGAACTTTTCAGGTTGCTTATCTAATCATTTCTCTTATCGACGCTCAATTAGTCTACGGTAATGCGTGTAATCCGATGTTGGGCACAAATATTCTTGATGGAGCAATGGTGAGCTAGTTTCGGAGAGTTTGAAAGCAAGTTTTGAATTCAAAATCCGTTTTTTCTCTTTAGTTTCCCCTCACCTGGATGTTCGGCTACAATACTGTGACTGGGATTCTTAATTTGTGGTTGATAATCCATTTGCGGTTGCATTACAGGAAATTGAAAGGTTTACGATGGCTCTAGCTAGTAAAGCAATTCAGCAAAGCGTTGTTGTTAGCTAAAGAGAAATCACTGGTTCTTTTTCTTTTTGTTAGGCAAATCCGTCTCACTTGAACAGCAAAAGATCCAACGAAACATTCAAATCGGTCTCCTCGTCTCGAGTATTTATCCAGCTTTACAACAAGCCTACACAGCGGTGCAAGTGAAAATGGCGTACAGCCGTGAGTTCTTCGAAATTGGACCAATTACAGTAATCAACTATTGGACCAATTACAGTAATCCGTAAACTCTTTGTAGTTATCGTCACAAACAACTCCTTTAACTTCCTGCTAGAGTTACTTACCGTAAATACTGTAATTGGACCCCATGGGGTACTATTTTTTCCCTCCCCCTCTAGGGTGGGGTACTATTAGAGGGTGGGGCACTATTAGAGGGTGGGTCACTATTTTACACCACTGTTCAAGTTACCAAATCAGGATGCATTCAAATAGTTTTTTCAAAAGCAAACTTTTTCTTTAGTTTTTATTGGTTTTAACCATTTGAAAATTTAACAGCAAAACGAAACAAAAACAACTAACAAGCGAAATCAATAGAAACATCCGAATCAATGAATTCATCATTTTCTTGATCATCAATTCCTCGATGTCCTTGAAATCCCGTCGATGCAAGCGGCTCCAAGAGGTCCTTGATTTCCATCTCTGATCTCTAACACCAACTTCTTTGGCTCCAACCACTTCGATGCACTTGCTCGTCGAAGCATCCAGCCAAACCGCCGTCTCATCGCAAGCAACAATGTGCTTGTAATCGCCTTCTTTGATTGTCTTGTTCAGCCTCAGAATGTGCTCGACGATGGCCTTCTCAAATTCGCTTGGCAGCTTTTGACAAATGGTTGTTGGTGCCCTCAAAGAAAGTTGGTGACGCCTCAAGAATGACTCCATCCAGCCATGGGTTCTTTTGAAAAAAATTTCAGCTTTTTTGAATCGATTAGCCGCTTCATTCCAGATAATCCGGCGTGTCACTCGTTTCTTCTCGGCTCGATGATCCCGTATCCATTCAGCCAAACCGATATCAATCCCCTCCGAGTTCAAGTGACTTCTAAGTGGTTCAAGTCTTCTAAGTGGGCCAATCTTTATGATTTTGGTGTTACATTGTTGCACTTGTTGAGATCTACGATCATAAAGATTGGCCCACTTAGAAGAAAGTTATGGCGAGCTGCGCAAAAAATTTGGCGCAAAGTAGCCACCCCAAATTTATGGAATAAATTTAAAAATACAAACGATTTCTGAAAATACATGAAAATTTTCCGCTTTAAAAACGTTGTTTGTAATTACGCGTTAGGTGGGGGTGGGGTACTATTAGAGGGGTGGGGTACTATTAGAGGGGTGGGGTACTATTAGAGGGGTGGGGTCCAATTACAGTATTTACGGTACCATATTTTCTCTAATAGTAGTGCACCCTGAGCCTCCCCTAAATTCCTCGAAATCTCGAGAGCCGCTTATCAGAATCTATCGATGTGTGGTCGGAAAATGTAGCTGACAATGAGATCTAGTGAGGGATTTGAGGTTGAGCTTTTGTAGGGTTGAGCTTAGGGGGGTTGAGCATCTGCAAAAGCTTCGAAACCGTAAAATAGTGATCAACTCGGCTCGCTGCGGTGCACTAGAATTAGAGAAAATATGGTATATTGTATTCATTTCCAAAAGCTCTTTCTAGAAACTCCAATTCCCGGATTTATCAACGTTCCGATGACGGTTTTGACGAGAACATCGGCATTTTTACAATTGACAACACCGTGGATGTTTCTTCGAGCATTTCAAGGTGAATTTCGTTTCTCTTGCATAGATTTTGTTCTTTTCTTTAAATTCTTTAAATATTTTCCCTTTTCTACTGTAACCTTGTCTCTATTTTTAACTGATTTATTCACTTTTTTGTATCTTTTTTAAACCTGTTTAAACCCTTACAGAATTAGCCTTAAAAAGTGAATAGATTGAATAAAGGTATGAAGAAGATTACGGTAGAAAGAGGAAGAAGATTATGGTAGAAAGAGGAGGAAGATTACAGTAGAAAGAGGAAGAAGATGATGGTAGAAAGAGGAGGAAGATTAGGGTAAAAAGAGGAAGAAGATGATGGTAGAGAGAGGAAGAAGATTATGGTAGAGAGAGGAAGAAGATGATGGTAGAGAGAGGAAGAAGATTATGGTAGAGAGAGGAAGAAGATTATGGTAGAGAGAGGAAGAAGATTATGGTAGAGAGAGGAAGAAGATTATGGTAGAAAGAGGAGGAAGATTAGGGTAGAAAGAGGAAGAAGGAAGGGCTTGAGGATATTCTAATCTCTCTACTCTAATCTCTAAGCTCTAATCTTTCACAAAATTTCATCTTTCAGACGAACTCTTCTTTTTGTTTATGAGACGAAAAATCTCCGATTTGCAAATGTTCAAAGAGAAATCTTCAATAGCATTGGCAATTGAAACGAATCGAGAAAAGCCAACAAGATCGATTAGCAATGTCACTGTTAGTATGTATCAAAATAAATATTGATTTATATATTCAAACAAAAAAGGTTCAGCTTTTTCCAACAAAAAACCGCATTTTGGAGCTATATTATGAGAAAGTTTGTCTAGAAAATCGTTTTTCTTATCCAAATTTGCATTTGCTTTTTGGTTAATGTTAAATTTTGGTCCCATTCCAACTATATAAAACGGCACTCTACAATTCCAAAAATTCCTGTACTTGTATTTTCTGCATTTTTGGTAATTTTAGATAAAAGATACGATCTTAAAAGTAAGAAATTCGAATTCCTCGCGAAAAACTGATTTAGAAAACGTTTCTGGTTAACTTATAAATGCAGTGCCCTGAATGCAACTTGGTTCCTTATCTCTCTAAATCTGGTGACAGGGCACAGTGACCGGGCACAGTTACAGGGCACTGTTACAGGCACTCTAAATTTGGTTCCTTATCCCTCTAAATCTGGTGACAGGGCACAGTGACCGGGCACAGTTACAGGGCACTGTTACAGGCACTCTAAATTTGGTTCCTTATCCCTCTAAATCTGGTGACAGGGCACAGTGACCGGGCACAGTTACAGGGCACTGTTACAGGCACTCTAAATTTGGTTCCTTATCCCTCTAAATCTGGTGACAGGGCACAGTGACCGGGCACAGTTACAGGGCACTGTTACAGGCACTCTAAATTTGGTTCCTTATCCCTCTAAATCTGGTGACAGGGCACAGTGACCGGGCACAGTTACAGGGCACTGTTACAGGCACTCTAAATTTGGTTCCTTATCCCTCTAAATTTCGTGACAGGGCACAGTGATTGAGAAATTTTGTCTAGAAATCGTTTTTCTTATCCAAATTTGCATTTGCTTTTTGGTTAATATTTAAAATGAACAACAGCCGACGCCAAACTATATAACGAAAACTAACAGAAAGCTCTATATAATGAAAAGATTTTTTTCGTCTCTTCCATTCCTCTTTCATTCTTCCAGCTTCGACTTTTGATTAAGTTTTATTTATAAAAAGTTTTTGATGTTCAATTTATCCTTTAGAGCTTCGTCGAGCCTTTTCACAAAATTTCACATCCGATTTTGATCAAATGACTAGCATTAACGTCTCATTAACTTGTTAATGCTTCCTTGTCTGCTTCAATGGCTTGTCAGTCGATGAATGCTAGTCATTTGATCAAAATCGGCTCGTCCATTTTGATGAATTGCCTTCTCTTTTTCCTACCAAGACACCTTTTGATAGTGAACCCAGGCGATCCTCACCCAGGCGATCCTCACCCAGGCGATCCTCACCCAGGCGATCCTCACCCAGGCGATCCTCACCCAGGCGATCCTCACCCAGGCGATCCTCACCCAGGCGATCCTCACCCAGGCGATCCTCACCCAGGCGATCCTCACCCAGGCGATCCTCACCCAGGCGATCCTCACCCAGGCGATCCTCACCCAGGCGATCCTCACCCAGGCGATCCTCACCCAGGCGATCCTCACCCAGGCGATCCTCACCCAGGCGATCCTCACCCAGGCGATCCTCACCCAGGCGATCCTCACCCAGGCGATCCTCACCCAGGCGATCCTCACCCAGGCGATCCTCACCCAGGCGATCCTCACCCAGGCGATCCTCACCCAGGCGATCCTCACCCAGGCGATCCTCACCCAGGCGATCCTCACCCAGGCGATCCTCACCCAGGCGATCCTCACCCAGGCGATCCTCACCCAGGCGATCCTCACCCAGGCGATCCTCACCCAGGCGATCCTCACCCAGGCGATCCTCACCCAGGCGATCCTCACCCAGGCGATCTTCACGAATTCGGTGAGAAAAAATAAAAGATTTTACGAGGATATGAAAGTCTAAATTGTTCAACTGGTGAGAGATTTTAGTTAAATTTTTCTTGTTCTTGTTTCGCAAAAACTCTAGATTTATTTATATCGTATAAATCACATATTCACAAATTTGGCACACAAAACGCTGAGAATTTAAACAAAATATAATTACCCATATGCAATATTTTTGTCAAATTTTGTTTTAAATATTCAATGCCTAATGAAAAACGCTAAAAAAATCAGAAAAAGAGGGGAAATGGTCGAGTCTTTCTTTTGATCCGATGTGCCCAACTTGTTCGCCTCTTGCACCGTTCCGCACCACTCTTTCCCCCTGAAATTCTTGATTCTTTGAGCAATCTGGATGTCACACTCAGTGCCTTGATGCTTTTCGCTTACCGAAACGTCTCTGAGGTTCCATTCGTTATTTGTACCCGTAAGAAAGGAAAGATGCATATTTGCGTGCAATCTTTCGTTTTCATCCCCACTTGGCCAACGTCAAAGTGAAATCTGGAAGGCAGTTTAGGAAATCGTATTGATAGATTTTAAACCTTGCTCTAGGAGAAGCTTGTTGTGCTAATGGTTTAATCACTCCTTTCCCACAACGCATCTCCGGGACAACAACGGTGGCGATCTGAATGGAAAATTGGATTTTTGGAGGTTTAAACCGGTTCAACGGGTTCAAGGGCATATTTGACTTAAACCTTGCTAGACTAAAGCCTTGTTAGACTAAAGCTTTGCTAGACTAAAGCCTAAGCCTAAGCCTAGACTAAAGCCTTGTTAGACTAAAGCTTTGCTAGACTAAAGCCTAAGCCTAAGCCTAGACTAAAGCCTTGTTAGACTAAAGCTTTGCTAGACTAAAGCCTAAGCCTAAGCCTAAGCCTAGACTAAAACCTTGCTAGACTAAAGCCTAAGCCTAAGCCTAGACTAAAGCCTTGCTAGACTAAAGCCTAAGCCTAAGCCTGAGCCTAGACTAAAACCTTGCTAGACTAAAGCCTTGCTAGACTTAAGCCTTGCTAGACTAAAGCTTTGCTAGACTTAGCCTTGCTAGAATTAGGCCTTCCTAGACTAATGCCTTGCTAGACTTAAGCCTAGTTCTAAGTTAGACGGCAAAGATGCTCCAACGAGATTCTAGAGTCTGTAAGCCAAGCCAGAGCCGGAGGCCAGAGCTGACAGGTTTAATTGATTAGGGAAACGATAAGAATCTTGAGGTCAAACAGATTCTAGAATAGTTTGACTGTAAGATTTATCGGCCAATGTATCTCCTAGATAAACCATACCATTCAAATCGTCAACCCCTGAATCAAAAGAGATTTTAATTTCAAAAAAGAGCTTCTATAGTCGTTAGTTCTCAATTTCAATTTAAAGTTTACTTCTTATTCTCCTCTTTTTTCCTTTTTTCAGTCACCCGTAGGTTTGGTGAATGATTTTCAGCTTAAATACTTCAAAGAATGACCTATTCAATCATTGTCACTCAAAAGAAAGAGCTCAGCTTTTCTGAATTTGAAAAAAACAATATAGAAACCTATTAAAGCTAGTACGAAATTTGAATTCACTAAATGAATTAGTCTAAAGAATAGAAATGGCTAGCTGTAGCTTTGCTGGCTGTAGTTTTAGGCAACAAATTGTTTATTTCATAGAACGCAAAATTTTAAGCTGAAAGATTTACGATAAACGATCTATAACTTGCCAAGCTAACAAAATGAGAACTTTATCTTGTTGCAACAATTATGGCGCATCCTGTACATACAATATCAAAAACTCGACGAGCTTGACTGAAAACTTCTACCATATGTGCCTTATTCATTCACCTAGCATCCTCAGATTTACAGATAAACAATTTGTTGTCTAAAACGATCGTTTATAACTGCCAAGCTAATAAAATGAGAACTTGATCTTGTTTCGACAATAATGGCGCATCCTGTACATACAATATCAAAAACTCGACGAGCTTGACTGGAGACTTCTACCATATGCGCCTTAATCACTCGATCTAGCACCCTCAGATTACCATTTTTCATTAAAGAAATTGGACATCAATCCGTCAATCCTAATATTCAATCTTGTAAAGTGCTTAAGCTAAGAGCAGGTGCTGGTGGAATTTTAGAGATTTGGTGTACGATGAGTTGGTGAATCCTATGCAGAACATCGTTGCTGATCTCTACTCAAAACAGTTGCTAAGAGTTAGTGACTCATTGAAGAAATTGGGCATCAATCCGTCGATGGTCCGTTTTTTTCGCAAGACAACGCAAGATCGCACACAGCAAAAGTCACTCACAAAAAAGCTTGGCTGGAGACTTCTACCACATGTGCCTTATTCACGCGACCTAGCACCATCAGATTACCATTTGTTTCGATCGTTAAAGCAATTCCTTTATGGAGAACGTTTCGATGATCATGTAAAAGTCAAAAACGCACTTGATTTCTACTTTGCTCAGAAGGACGCTCAGTTTTTTTGAGAATGATATCAAGGAATTGCGTCAAAGATGGCAAGAAGTCAATAATGGATGATATCTTTTGGATTAATGTTTTCCGTTCTATGAAATAAACAATTTGTTGCCTAAAACGATCGTTTATAACTTGCAAAGCTAACAAAATGAGAACTTTATCGTGTTGCGACAATTATAGCGCATCCTGCACATATTACAATCCTGTACGCATCCTGTGCGCATCCTGTACGCATCCTGTGCGCATCCTGTACGCATCCTGTACGTATTGGGTTGATGCATAATTATCCGGACTTCTTTTTGCGTGCTTGTATCTTTTTTGTTTTGAAAGCTTTTTGTCTATTTCTTTTTTTTAAATATTCGTTATTCTTTAGTGAACAAAATGCGTGTCGACAATCATATCCATCTTCGCCATATCATGCTCTACCACTTCGAAAAGGGATGGTCTGCCGCAGAGTCGTTTCGCGATCTCAAAGAACTGGAGAAGCCCCAACGGACTACCACGTCAATCGATCGCTCAAAAATTGGCAAACAAATAAGATCTACAACGATTTGGATGACTTGATAGACGATGTTAAAGCGTGGATTGCCTCCAAAGATCGTTTATTCTTCGCTCGTGGAATCGATCGTCTTCCAAGCAAATGGCAATCAGTTATTGATGTAGGCGGTGAATATGCTCCAGAATAATCAATTAAACATATTTTTCTAACTATTTATGTTATTTTTTGTTAAATAAAATCATTTATAAAAGAAGTCCGGATAATTATGCATCAACCCAATACATATACACAATACAATACAGAAGTCATCGATAATAATGGAGAATCTCTTTTTGGATTAATGTTCTTTCTTTTGCGTTCTATGAAATAAACAATTTGTTGCCTAAAACAAACGTTTATCACTTGCCAGGCTAATAAAATGAGAACTTTATTTTGTTGCGACAATTATAGCGCATCCTTTTGCATAGAATATTGAAAACTCGACGAGCTTGACAGGAAACTTCTATCACATGCGCCTTATTCACCCGTCCTAACCCCATCAGATTACTATTTGTTTCAATCGTTAAAGCAATCCTGTGCTTTATGGCTGTGCATACAATATTGAAATCAAATAAACAACTTGTAAAGTTGGTTTTCGTTTCAAAAAATTAGTTTCTATTCGTGTTTTTCTCTGAATTTCTCTGATGAAGTCAAGCAGAATGCTCTCCTTTGTTTATTTCATTTTCACCTTTCCCCCATTTTCCTTTACTAATGAATATTCAACTAGGGTAGTCTTGGAGTTTAGTTGAGAAAAAAAAAAATGAGTACAAGTCGTTGTTTTTTCGGTTGTGAAATGGGGAATTTCATTAGGAAAATGTGTAAATCATTTTTGGCTTCAATTACCAAGTTTTATCGAATTTTTTTTTGTTGATTTACTCAATCTCTTTGAAAGCCATTCAATTTCTTCTTTTCATTCACCTAATTCAATACAAATTTCAGTAAAACGAGTCAGACTTTGAAAGTGTTTAGGCTAATTTTAAGCGATTCAGACAATTGACCGACTGTATCGAGAAAAGATCTTCCAAAGCCTTCAAAAGATCTTCAAAGGCATCAAAAGATCTTCCAAAGCCTTCCAAAGCCTTCAAAAGCCTTCAAAAGCCTTCAAAAGCCTTCAAAAGATCTTCCAAAGCCTTCCAAAGCCTTCAAAAGCCTTCCAAAGCCTTCAAAAGCCTTCCAAAGCCTTCAAAAGCCTTCAAAAGCCTTCAAAAGATCTTCCAAAGCCTTCCAAAGCCTTCAAAAGCCTTCCAAAGCCTTCAAAAGCCTTCAAAAGCCTTCAAAAGCCTTCAAAAGCCTTCAAAAGATCTTCCAAAGCCTTCCAAAGCCTTCAAAAGCCTTCCAAAGCCTTCAAAAGCCTTCAAAAGCCTTCAAAAGCCTTCAAAAGCCTTCAAAAGATCTTCCAAAGCCTTCCAAAGCCTTCAAAAGCCTTCCAAAGCCTTCAAAAGCCTTCAAAAGCCTTCAAAAGATCTTCAAAAGCCTTCAAAAGCCTTCAAAAGCCTTCAAAAACCCCCATCCAACACACCGTTTTTGGGTTGAAAACAGATTTGATCGATACATAAACATCCTCTGTGCCAATGAAAGTCTCCTCAATGAAAATAATCGTATCATTCACTTTTTCCGGATTCTCTTTTGGTGAAGTTTTCGTTTTAACGATCAATTCCTGAAAAAATAATGAATTTTCGAGTGATCTGGAGGTCACACTACTGAACGAATAAACTTTCAGATATAGATCTCTAACTTTCCGAAAAGCTCTTGTGAGCTCCAGGATTTATACCCACAACAAGTCGAAGCTATTTCGATTAGAAATTCTTGAGAAACGTTTTTGAATAATCTGGAGGTCACACTACTGAACTAACAAACTTTCAGATATACAGGGTGCGGCAAAAGTTCCGACACTTGTTGTAAACGGGCAGTTTGACTTGGAAAAAACGCGATTTTTGAAAAACTAACACCGGATTATAAAAATTCAGATATTTTTACCCCCTAATATACTTTTTTTTACACAAAAATTGCCATCTAAACAACCTTTTGATGAGGATTTTTAAAGGTCGTTACAGCAGTTTTTTTTTGCTGTTGAGATTTGGGTGCCCTTCGTAGAATCGATTGAAAATCTTTCGTTTTTGAGATATAAAGTTTTTGTGTAGCTTGTTTTCAAGAAAAAAAAACTCAGTTCTATCAAATGGTAACAGCAGTTTTTGGAAAAAAATTTCATTCTGCAAAGTTTAAGTCAACTTTCGCAAGAATCTTCAGCGACCAGACCGGGATATAAAAAATTCTCGTCAAAAAGTTATTGAGAGTTGAAATCTTTTGATGAAAATGGCTATATTGGGGTGAAACTACCGAAATTTTTAGAATCCGGCGTTAGTTTTTTTGAAATTCACGGGTTTTTGAAGCCAAAAAAATTACTGCTTACAGAAAAAAGTGTCAGAACTTTTGCCGCACCCTGTAGATCTCTAACTTTTCGAAAAGCTCTAGTGAGATCCAGGATTTACACCCACAACAATTCCAAGCTATCCCGATTAGAAATTCTGAGAAATATTTTTGAACAATCTGGAGGTCACACTACTGAACTAACAAACTTTCAGATATAGATCTCTAACTTTTCGAAAAGCTCTAGTGAGCTCCAGGATTTACACCCACAACAATTCCAAGCTATTCCGATTAGAAATTCTTGAGAAATATTTTTGAATAATCTGGAGGTCACACTACTGAACGAATAAACTTTCAGATATAGATCTCTAACTTTTCGAAAAGCTCTTGTGAGCTCCAGCATTTACACCTATAACAATTCCAAGCTATCCCGATTAGAAATTCTTGAGAAAAATCAATCAGTGGCTTTCTTTTACCTGTTTTGTGCTCAAATCGCTCAACACCACATTCGGCTGAGTGCCAAAAAAAAGTCGATAATGAATCCGAACGGCGAACCACGTGCTCGGTGAGAGTCCATCAAAGGAAAACAGCTGAAAGTTATCAGATTTTGATTTTAAGCTTTTTTAAGGCAATCCTGGAACACACTTGACCAATTGGGCATTTTTGGGGATCTCGATTTTCCCATTTTTCCCATTTTTCCCCAGGGATTAACAACAAGTGCCGAGTACTTGACCCTTGAATTTCCACAAAAAAGTAAACGGCTATTTATCAAATTTTTCAGTGTGCCACTTTGGTGTCAATCAAGAAAGATTCTGAGAGTGATTTTTCAACTTTTTCCTCGACTAGTCCGCTTCGGATTTGTTTTTACTTTCAGTGTCTAGCCACAGAATATTTATAATGATCTTATTAAGTTAACGAATAAGTCTATGACTTATTAAGTTAAGTTAGCCGATAGTCTAGGACTTATTAAGCTAACCAATAAGTCTATGACTTATAAAGTCTTTTATAAGTCTATGACTTATAAATGACGAATTCACCAATTGATTTACAATTGTTTCCATTAAAAAGGGCTACTATATTTCTATAAAATAACATTTAAATCTTCTGAAAATGTTTTTTTAATGGTTTTTTATTTTTTTTTTTATGGTTTTTTATTGGAGCATGAAGTCGAGTAGTCAAAAAAAATGTAATTTACGTGCTTTGGTTCACAGAGACCAAATCTGTACCAAATCTGTACTCTCTTTTAAGGCAATCCTGGAACGCACAAATGTTGTTGTCAATGATTTGATGAGACTTGCAATTGCATAGACTTTTTCGTTGTACCCATAGAAGAAAGCCTTATTGCTAATGATAGCCAAGTCATTGAAGCATCCGATTCCCGTGACCAACATTCTACAATTGTACATATGCAGATTTCGAATTCAAAATGGTGTGGCACTTCCATCCTTCAGCATTTTCTCATAGTAGGCTCCAGCAAATCCAGCAAATCCAGCGGTGATACATGTAGTGAGAAAAGAAATGTTGCCAACGAAATAGTTCTCTTTGTAGAGAAAAGGAACCAAATCTGTAGAGAAAAGGAATCAAATCTGTACCGAAAAGGAACCAAATCTGTACCGAAAAGGAATCAAATCTGTAGAGAAAAAGAATCAAATCTGTAGAGAAAAGGAACCAAATCTGTAGAGAAAAGGAACCAAATCTGTACTGAAAAGGAATCAAATCTGTACCGAAAAGGAACCAAATCTCTACCGAAAAGGAATCAAATTTGTACCAAATCAATTACCAATTATTGTCTAATTACTGCTTTGTTATTACTTCGCAAAGACAATGAAAAAGAAAAACAAAAAGGTCTAGGGCAGCCAACAGCTCAAGTAGTCTTCAAGAGCTTTCAGTCTAACAACTAAATATCTTTTACCTAATATCTATATCTCCTTTCTCTTTCAATTCATTTGTCATTTGTTCATTTTGTGTTCATTTTTCATTTTGTGATTTCTTAGACATTTGTGAATGAATGGCTTTTGAATTGACCTCAAAATTTTCGCTTAAAGTGTTTCCGTTCAAATGCGAAACACAAAAAGCCAAAGAATCTATGGATTTTCTGAGATTGACAACATTTCGGCCACGAAAATAAGTTTCTACAAAAAATGGTGCTTAAAAAGTTTCAATCTGGATGTCATTCGATCAGCTGATTGTTTAATTTCAGCATTTCAACAATTTCAGCATTTCAGCACCCTCAGCGTCACCCGGCTTATGGTAGAAAGCCGAAAAATAAAGCTTTTTTTGAAAAATCCCACTCCCAATCTTCTTCGTGAGTTCCATATTGCTCAAGAAGTAGTAGTAAATGGACACAACAGGGTAAATTGAACAATAAATGCAAGGGGTGGAGGACAAATGCATTGTGTGGTCACTTCAGCCTTTTGGGCACAAAGCGGAACCCTTTAGAGAGGATCCCTGGGTTGCAGTACTCTTTTCCCTGCATAGGTTATTCTATGTTGCCAATGCGAGCCGGGCTATAATTAGTCAAAATAGCCAGATTAGCGAGCGATGCTCAAAGCTGGCGCACAGCTTTGAGAGCTTTGAGATCTGAATTGCTTTGAGATCTGAATTGCATTGAGATCTGAATTGCTTTGAGATCTGAATTGCATTGAGATCTGAATTGCTTTGAGATCTGAATTGAGGCTAGATCGGGGGAGATTTGTCAATCCTGAAATTTGATCTAGAAGCTCTAGTGGATTGTTGACGTTATCTGTGCTACTCTTATATTATATACATTGTATCGTGTTGCTACGACAGCTACGACGGCTAAGAATGGCTAAGAATGGCTAAGAATGGCTAAGAATGGCTAAGAACAATCTCTTAATCATTTTCTTGCTTTTTTTTGTTTTGATGATTCGATTTTGGTACGTTTGTAGAATTTGCGAATCTATGCTTAGAATGTAAAATTTGCATTCTAAGCATAGATTATAACAATAGCAAACAGCTGGATCTTGAAATCAAGCATCTGGTTCTAGACGTACCCACAAACCCAAGAACTTGCCCAGTTCAGGACAGCCAGGCAAAAGCAGTTAGTTACTTCGCTAGATGACTGAAGATTTAAATCAGTTGCTGCTCCAGGAGAAATCCTCTTTGATCAACAACCATTTCAACAATGAACAAGGGAAAATTGTTCAATTTCAATACATTACTTGATCTAGAAGCTCTAGTGGATCTTTGACGTTATCTGTGCTACCCATATATTACATACATTATATCGTGTTGCTTTTATCGGCTTTTTATCGGCCTAAAAGGACCTAAAGGACCGGCGTATTCAGCTGATACTGTGTTTCACTACATTATACTACAATATTCAGCAAACAAAACAGTTTTTCTACCCGTGGAGCGGCAGGTCATGGGTTCAAATCCCGGCGCCGACCATTTTTTCTATTCCCAGCTTTAACCTAACCTTATCTTGATCTAGAAGCTCTAGTGGATCCTTGACGTTATCTGTGCTACCCATATCTTATATCGTGTTGCTTTTTATCGGCCCTTTTCGTGTTATCTGTATGAATGTGTTTTAATCTTAAATCTAGCGCACTTTATTATCAGATCATAAATAAAGTATCTATTGGGTTGGGGAGAATGAGTCGGCGCCGAACTTTAAAGGGACTTTTTGCACACATAAAGCCTTCTTTAAACATACGTTTGGTTTCATCAAAAGGATCCACTATTTCTCTACAAAATCACTTTTGAGAGATTCCACAAAGCTTTTCTTTCGTGGAGTTTATCAACTTCGAAACGCAGCTGGTTAAAATGGCAAAGAGTCCGACTCATCATTTGAACAGTTTCTTTCACATAAACCTTCTTTGGTGTTTATATAAAAAAGATAGAGCACATTCAATTACTTAAGTTGCCAAATTTGCAGGAAGATCCCACCAATGGTTTTTTCTAGATCACAGTTTGTAGTTTTTGTGAAAAAATGGCTTTTTCTTGAGCGGAGGCGCTGTTTGAATTTTCTTTTAAATGTCATTTTGTAGAGAATTAGTTAACTCATTCTACTCATATCAAACGCATATTATTTCACGAAGTCGAATTGAAGTTTTAGACATTTTTTTCATTTTCGGCGCCGACTCATTCTCCCCAACCCAATATATAAATATTCAACTTTAAAGACTTTCTAATAGAATTTGAATCAATCTCTAGGCAAAGTTCTGCAATAAAGTGATTAGGATTGATTAGGATTGATGCGGGAGAGGAGACCTTTATAATAGGTTGATGCATAAGTGTTTTCGTTTTTTTCGTACTTCTGTTAAAAAGTAACAAATTCACGAATTAATCTATAGTTTGCTCTATCAAAAAAAGTGTTTTTTTGTTCAATTTGCATCTTTTTAAATGAATTTCGGTTCACTTTGAAGCAAATTCGAGAGTGAAAAACGCCTTTTTCGTAAAAATCTATAAAAAACTCTACGGAAAAATTGGCTGAATGAATTTCTCTGAAATTTTGGCCAAATATCAAACGTTTTTTTTCTCTATCTTTTATCTATTGACACGAAGATAGGTTTTCTTTAGCTAAGGTGTCTAAACCGCTCAGGCTCAGGCTCAGGCTTAGGCTGAGGCTTAGCCTGAGCCTGAGCCTGAGCCTGAGCCTAAACCGCATCATCGAGTTAGCCCTTTTTGACTACCCGACTTCATACTCTCAAGAAAATCCAGGCATTAAATATTTTTAAAGCCTTTTTAATGTTATTTTGCAGAAAAATAATTGCTTTTTCTAATGAAATCAACCGTAGTTTAATTCGTGCATTTGTTGGCTTGAAACGGCAGACGAAAAGGAACAAAAACACTTATGCATCAACCTAATAAATATTCAACTTTAAAGACTTTCTAATAGAATTTGAATCAATCTCTAGGCAAAGTTCTGCAATAAAGTGATTAGGATTGATTAGGATTGATGCGGGAGAGGAGACCTTTCTAGCTTTGCTTAAAAAGCGCACCTTTTAGAAAACGCGTTGTCGGAAAGTTTGTCGGATCAATTGTCTGACAAAAATTTGTCTGACAAATTGTCTGTCAACAAGGAGCACACTCTAGACACGACTGGACGACTAGACACGACTAGACACGACTGGACACTCATTGCCCGACCCCAGGATATATAATCCCAAATCTTTCTACTACGACTAACTATGCCATTAGGATTTGGGAGATCTATTTATCGAGATTCTGAATCGAGTTTTGTTGGATTGACGTCAAATTCGATGCACGAACTTCTCATTTGCGGAAAGGGACGACCTATTGATGTGATTAGGATTGATGCGGGAGAGGAGACACGACTGGACACTCATTGCCTCACCCCAGCTCCAACATTTTCAAGGATTTCTCAAGTAGCAAGTCTTTACTTCTATTCTCTAATGGTAAAAGCATGGAAATAGCAATACTGGAAAGAGAAAGCATCAAAAAGAATAGAGAGAAATCAAAATTTCTTTAGTTTTGTAAAGTTTTGCGATTTTGAAACTCGTAAACTATAAAACTTTAAAAAACAAAAGTTAAGAGTAAATTTATCTTTGAATATTCACCAATTTCTCAGTTAACGACTACGCGGCTGTACGGCCAAAATACCGTCGTCGCGAATGTGTTAAACAAACCATTACGTTGCCATTGGCAATCCAACTTTAAACTCAAATATCTCAGTGTTGAGCTGTTCAATTCAAATAGTTTTGGTATCAATCGATAGAGAAAGACTTGGCGCATCCAATGATACCAAGAAAATCAAAATTGAACAGCTCAACACCGAGATATTTGAGTTCAAAGTTAGAGCGCTAATGGGAAAAGAGATCAACCCTGAAAATCCACTTGTAAGCTTTAGCCTTAAGCTAGTCATGTATTCTTTTAGATTAGTCTTTAGATTCATGCTCAGTTTCCCAATGAATTCATTCATTTCCCCAAAACAGGCTAAAGAAAGAGAAAGGGCTCAGGTGAAGGGGCACTAATTCTCCATTGACCTCTCCCCTCCATTTCTGTTTTCCATTACTAGTTAAAGCTTTTCAGCTTTGTCAGCTTTTCAGATCAAATTTCAAGGGAAAACGAACGGGGAGCTTTTGGCCTTTTGGCCCTAAGGACTTCTCTGAATGCTTCTCTGAAATGCTCATTTCGGTGATTGACATAAGAGTGACTCGGGCAACCAACCAAAATAGCTTCTCTTTCAAAATTGACTACAATTTATTATCGTTTTCGAATTTAAACTAGAAAAAAAGTGTTGAAAAGGCGATTTTTGAGTTCTAGATTTACGTTTTCTGAAGCTTTCTGAAGAGCCTGAGCCTAAGCCTGAGCCTGAGCCTAAGCCTTCATTTGATTGCTAGAAACTGGTGAAGCTGTTCCTTTAACAGCATGACTTCCAGATTCCCAATTTCTGAGCTCTCACCTATCGAAAGATATTCTTTAAAGATTTCACTTAGACTTAAATCAATCAAAACCCAATCCAAATATTTATCGAACTTGTTCGAGCTTATCCTTTTGTTCTTTTGAGTGCCTAGAAAACAAGACAACAAGTGAGGGTCAACATCTTCCCCATTCAGCTTTCGGGATCACAATGACCTCTTTGGGGGATGAGATTGCAGAGAGGTGTGGCCTCTTTTCCCTTCTTTCTCTCGATGACATATGGGTGATTCTTCTCTTTTTGTTTGACCAGCCGTCTTTAGGTCAACCCAATCCCCATTGTTGGGTATTAGTGGGAGAAAATAACTGACAACTGGTTTGGGAAGAGTTCTGCCAGTGCCGGAACTAGGGTCAACGTTTATGCAGGTCAGCTAAAATCAGGACCAGAACCAGGGGCAGAACCAGGTCCAGAATCAGGGCCAGAATCAGGTTCAGAATCAGGTCCAGAACCAGGGCCAGAACCAGGGTCAGGATCAGGTCCTGAACCAGGTTTAGAACCAGGTCCAGAATCAGGGTCAGAACCAGGTCCAGAACCAGGTCCAGAATCAGGGTCTAGGTAGGTCAGCCAGATCTAGCTCCAGGGTTTTGCCTGTTTTTCGTTAGTTTTAAGTTAATTAGGGTCAAAGCAAGCTCCAGATCAGGCCAGCCAGGTCCAGGCTCCTATCTGGCCTCCTAGCTGGCTCCTAGCCGTCTTTGCTCCTAGTGAATAGAGCCTGGTTTAGTTAAATTTGATTACCATTGTGAGATTGGGTTCTTGTGCACTCCAGCTAGGAGAACTCCTTAAAATTGAGCCTTGGAAACATAAAATTCGCCCACTTCAACTTCCGGTCGACTCTTTTAATGGCGAAAAATGAATAGAAGTGAAGCAATTTTGAAATCTTTTCACTTCACCCCCCAATTTACCTGATCTCTTTGACTTCCGCGTAGCTCAGTCTTTCGGAATTCGACTTGTCGATCAAGGTCATAGATGTAAACCAACATATCGAATGAGGAAACGTTTTCAGCCTAAAAATTTGGGGAATTGAAATGTTTCTGATTACTTTGAAAGGTTGGAGATGTGATCTGGATGTCACAGATTGATGTTAAGATGTTAGGAATGAATTCTAGAAAATGTGGGGGAAGTTGGGTATTTAAGCAGAGTTTAGAGTTCCTACCAAATGCCTAGAACAGGTCAGCATTGTTTGGAAACACACCCTTTCTGGTGCACTGACACTTTCAGCATTTTTTACTAGGGGAATTGGGAAATTGAAATGTTTCTGGTTACTTTGAAACGTCAGAAATGTGATCTGGATGTCATAGATTGATTTTGAGATGTTAGGAATGAGAATTTGGGAATTGAGATGTTTCTGGTTACTTTGAAAGGTTGGAAATGTAATCTGGATGTCACAGATTGATTTTAAGATGTTAAGAATAAGAATTTGAGGAATTGAGATGTTCCTGGTTACTTTGAAGCGTCAGGAATGCGATCTGGATGTCACAGATTGATTTTATGATGGTAGGAATGAATTCTAGAAAATGTGGGGAAAGTTGGGTATTTAAGCAGAGTTTAGAGTTCCTACCAAATGCCTAGAACAGCTCAGCATTGTTTGGAAACGCACCCTTTCTGGTGCACTGACACTTTCAGCATTTTTTTTACTAGTAAAATGTCTATGGATTGACGAAGAAATGTGGGAGTTTAGAGGCACTAGAATTTTTTTTGCAAAACTCGAGCACATCTCCCAGCTTTTCTAATATGAAAGAACCATCAATGTCAATTGTTATAAAGCTTCTTTCATTCAAACCTTGATCATCTTGATGACAAGGCTGTTGTCAGTGATTGTTGTTGGCTCAAATCTCGCAACTCCATTTACGAGTTTCCAGAAAACGGTGAACACTCCGAAATGAAACCAATTCCACCACATTGTCACAACATTTTCCTCAACAAATATCTAAACTTTTGGCTTTTTAAAAAACAGATTTGTAGTCGTAATTTGGGAATTTTCGTGAGAACAAAGCTTAAAAAATGACTCAAAACAATGAAAAGAAATAGGACTAAACGAATCTTTCAAAATCTTTACAATATAGCTGACATTTTGAGTCATCAAAGATTTGATCTGGATGTCAGAGAAGATAAAAATTCAAGTTTTGATAAATTTATTGAAAAATACAAAAACTATCTAACCCGATGAAGCACAGGAATGTGCTCTGGACGTCAATGAAAAAGCTGGACAATATAGCAAACATTTTGAGTCATCAAAGGTATCATCTGGATGTCACAGAAGATAAAAAATTCAATTATTGAATGAATCCGTCGAAAACTACAAAAACTATCTAGCCCGTTGAAGCACAGGAATGTGATCTGGACGTCAATGAAAAAGCTGGACAATATAGCAAACATTTTGAGTCATCAAAGATGTCATCTGTGCCATTAAAGATCTGATCTGGATGTCAGAGAAGATAAAAATTCAAGATTTGATAAATTTATTGAAAACTACAAAAACTATCTAGCTCGATGAAGCACAGGAATGTGATCTGGACGTCAATGAAAAAGCTGGACAATATAGCAAACATTCTGTGCCATTAAAGATGTCATCTGTGTCATTAAAGATCTGATCTGGATGTCACAGGAGATAAAAATTCAAGATTTGATAAATTTATTGAAAAATACAAAAACTATCTAACCCGATGAAGCACAAAAATCGAATCTGGATGTCACAGAAAAAGAGAGACGAAAAAATTCACCTGGTCAAGAATTTGGCTTCAAGAGAAAAAGGATCTCAAAAAAAAAGCTAATTACTCATATTTTTTTAAAAACAGAAAGCATAAGACATTTGAAATTTCATTGAGTAATGGAGGAGGAAAAAAAGGGAATGAAATCTCATTGAGATCTCTTTCAATATGGGCTAGGGACTTCTTTAGCCTCTTTTTCTTTGCCTGCGATCCATCTTCAATCATTAGCTGGTCTTGAGGAAAAAGAGGAAATATCTCGATGGGGAATCTGATGGGGAAAAGCTTTACGGAGTTGGAAATGTCGAAAAAACTTGGTGATTTTTGCAAAAGGGTGCGACAGGGACCGAACCGTCGAGGTCCAGAACCGCAGTCGAACGCTCAGGCACTGAGCTAAGACCGCTACGAGCCGAGGAAGCTTTTTAAAGATCTTTAGATTCTTCTGAAAGACTGATTTTTGCAAAAGGGTGCGACAGGGATCGAACCATCGAGGTCTAGAACTGCAGTCGAACGCTCAGGCACTGAGCTAAGACTTCTATGATTCGAAGCGGCTGGGGAAGCTTTTTAAAGATCCTTAGATTCTTCTGAAAGACTGATTTTTCAAATTTTTTCTTTGGAACGGAAAAACTCATTGTCATTTCTGTTAAGTTATAGCTCTAGCTCTAAAAAGAGCTCCAAATTCTCTTGTGACATCCAAAACGTTTCCCAATGCTAATCGCGTATGTAAGTAGTGGGCGGAATCACCGAAAAACAACTAGAGAATCATTATCGAAAAAGGAAAAAGGGAAAAGTCGACAAATTATGGCTATCAAAGTATAGAAAATGAGAGAAAAAGAGAGAGAATTCAGCCATAAAGAAAAGAAAAGAAAAGAGCTCATAGAAAAGAGAAATGGATGCAAAAACAAAAAAAGAAAGAACAAAAAAAAAGCGTTCACTTGTTCTCTCTTTTGAAAATGATGAACGATCGCTACTTTTGGCCGCTTTTTCAGCATGTTTTTCGTTCGATTTTACGCAATGCCTTCCAGGTTTTACGAAATTTTTGGAAAAAATTGAAAATTGAGCCAAAATTTGCCAAAATTTTCGCGTTTTAACTGAATTTTTCCAAATTTTGATCTCAGGTGGCAATTTTTAAGTTTTTTTTTTTGAGAAAACGCAAGTAATGCTTGCGTTTCCGGTAAAAAAAACGCAAAAAGGGGATGTTGGAGTCAAAAAATTTCATTGGGTCGCCGAATGAGTGGAGAAATTTGCATAATTGATGGGTAAGCAAAAAAGTCAGACAATTAGAAAGATGAAAAACTAGGACTTGGCTAATTTTTTTGGCATTTGTGCGCTCCAGGATTCGGTCTACAGAAGAAAGGTTTTGGGTATACGGTATAATAAACCGAGAAATTTTAGACCAGCTGATGCGCAAAGAATAGCACTGACAAAATAATTGAAAATTTGGACAAATAACTAGCTTTTTGGAAAGTGTGCGTTCCAGGATCGGGTCTACAGAAGAAAGATTTTGGGTATACGGTATAAAAGTCCATAAATTTTAGACCAACTGATGCGCAAAAAATAGCATTGACAAAATCATTGAAAATTTGAGCAACTAACTAGCTTTTTGGAAAGTGTGCGTTCCAGGATTGCGATTTCTGAAGAAAAATCTAGTTGCTTGAGTTCTAGAACCCGTGAAACTTTGGCTTCAAGAATATCCAGCCAGACCTGATTGAGGGTTAACTAGTGTTTGAGGAGTTGAAGCCAGATTTGACCCTAGGGAGGGCAGGAGTGAGTGAGGGGGGAATGGGCGGGATTTGTGCTCGAATGGAGTAAAGAGAAAGAGAAAGAGAAAGAGACTCAAGCCGGGGTGACCCTTCACTCATGAATGGAGAGCTGAAGAGAAGAAAGGCTTTAGTGCCAGCTGATTGTTAAAAATACTTGACTTTTGGAGCATCCTGGGAGTCACAGCGAAGAATGCGACTAATATTTGAGTGAGTTTTTGGAAATTTGAAAAAATCAAAAAAAAATCAGTAATTTGAGGGAAAAGTTTGAGGGGAAATCTTCGAGAAAACGTATAATTATTTCTTGGCAAAATGTTAGATTGGGTAAATTGGATGTCACGGAGATTGTAGAAGTACTGAAATTCGCTTAGAAGTACTGAAAATAGAAATTGGTTGAGTTGGGGTACTTTGTAATGGAATGGGATGAGATTGGTGGCCTGGATTTGGTCATATATTGAGAAAACCAATAGAAAAGGGTTAGAAGCGGGTTTTCTGAAATTCCCACAGCCTTTGATTAGCCGCCTCGATGGGGAAAGATGGGGGAAAAGGGAAGGAAAGAGTAATTGAGTGCTTGAGGCACTGCTTGGCAAAGTTGGAAATTCTTATTAAGTATCGGTTTTTCGAGTTGTGTGCGTTCCAGGATCAGCGAATTGTTCGGAATTTTGTTGGAGATTTGGCAAATTTTACGCTTAAATCATGGCAAACTATTCAACGCTACGAAGCTACGGGAACAATTGCTGATGTGCCAAGAAGCGATGCCCAACTGTCGTCACAAAAATCATGCGAGTGAGGGACCGAATTTGGAAGAAGCCAAACCAGTTGGCAATAACAAAGGCATCGCCAAAAAATGGCAAAGAAGATATGGCAAAGAAGAATTTCAAGCACCTCATTGCGTCGGATCCTCAAAAATAAGCTCAAAATGACTGCTTTCAAGAAAAACAAGGCTCAGCTTCTTTCGAATGTCGTTAAAAACAAATTGAGAGCAGATCGGTTCTTGATGCACTTCAATGGAATCAACTACGATCTCTTGTTCATAGATCAAACAATATTTACGGTTAAAGGCCTTCTTAACAAGCAAAATCATTGTTCAAAGCCCCACAAAAACATGGAAAGCTTCAAGAAATCCTGTTCAAAGCGTGGGAAGAGCTCGATGCAGCCTATTTTGTCGCCACCCTTGGCGCCTTCTCGAAACGCGTGCGAGCTAATGGTGACCTGCTAATGGTGGCCTGCTAATGGTCGCTGATTCGAATTTGATGATTCATTTATAATTGTTAATCTAGAATAAATGCTATTCAGTTAAAAATTTGTCTTTTTTTGCTTTTGTCTTTAAAAGACTTATATTGCTGCGACAATTATGGCGTAATTTTAAGATTTACTGATGTCAGGCTCTTCATTTGAAAACTTTATCCAGTTATATCCAATAATTTTATCCAATAACCGTTAGCTTCATAGATGCTTTTCATGCTTTGGTAGGCTAATTTACGCAATTTTCTTTGAGCAACAGGGTCATTTGCGCAAATCGCCATAACTTTCTTCTAAGTGGACCAATCTTTATGGTTTTCCTTTCATTTTGTAGATCTCAATAAGTGAAACAACAACAAAGTGCAACAACAACTCAATAAATGCAACAAAATTGCGGAAATTAGCCTACCCCAATTATGGCGTACCCTGTAATCGTAAGGTTTACTGATGTGAGGCTCTTCATTTGAAAACTTTATCCAGTTAGATCCAATAATTTTATCCAATAACCGTTAGATTCATAGATCTAACATTTTTAACACCATTGATTCCATTTTCAATCGATTCACGAAATCTTTTCTCAATGATTTTCAGTCCCGATCTCGTCAAATGACATCCATTATCGAAATAAAGTAATTGCTTCTCTTCATCAAATGTCATCAGCTGATTTCTTTTCAAATCTAAATCAAAACTTAGAATGTTCCTTTTCCCTTTTGAATGTTCCTTACCAATAAATGCTTCAGCGATATCAATTGGATAACATTTAAAGCATTTCTCGAAAACGATCCTCAAACGTTGATAAACTGATCCATTATAGAAATTGGTTATCTAAAAAAAGTTGATTGATTGATGTTGATTCTAGAAATGTAACTGATTTACATTAAATGAACGATTGAACTTTGTGAGATCCTCTCCTTTCTGAATTGAATCCAAAAAACGATTGAGAAGTTGGCTGTCGATTCCGTGACAATCAAATGGTTGATGCGTTTGGATGAAGAGCTTCTTGGTGAACAAACTGAATAACAAAGTACACTTAGATTCTAAAAGTTGTTTCTGTTCATCGAATGTCATCAGCTGATTTCTTTTGAAATCAAAATCAAAACTTTGAATTGGTTCAGGTTCAGGGCATTCTGTACAATTTTTATTTTTATTTGTGTGTTTGTTTTGTTTGTTTTTTTTTTTTAAATTAAAAGGTA